ACACTAACAGAGTTAATCACAAAAGGGTGAAGAGTTTGGAGAAGACAGGAGAAGTGAACAATCGAGGACAACATAGCTGAACTGGAAAGTGAAATGCATTGGAGAAATTTTCCAAATCAGCTATTTTGGCCTACAGTGTTTACTTCTCCTGCCTTTTCCAAACGTAACTCTTTTGTGAATAACCCTGTAAATTCATTGGGCACTGTCGTTTTTTGCCATTTCAAGGGCACATGCAGTTTTAAGGCTTGATGTGTTTGGTATCCATTTACCTGACATGACCCCATCTTTGATATAATACCAAAACATTGGGTATTATATTCTGGGTGCACTAAAATTAATTTTAGTGTAAAAAATATTGGTTTGACAAACATTTGCACAAATATTGTACAACATAAAAATTTGCAACTAGCATTTTTTCTTATTCTACAGTGCATCTGTTTTCAGAAAATATATAATTGACTTGGGGGTTTAAACTATTTTCTAGCCAAACATTCAGATTTCATCATGTGTAAAAATTAAGAAATGACTCCGGAAAGGAATTGGTTAATGTTCCGTTGATATTTTCAAATTATATTCACAACGCAATGCAAGTTTATAGGGATGGCCAAAATGCTTATATGACAAGATGCAAAGAATTTTGTCTCTTTTCCCAAATGAATTATAGATAAAAGGAAACATCATCAAAAGGTATGGAAATATTTTAATATTGCAGATGCTACATGTCTATGGTATTTTTATCACTTCAACATTAAGCACCATCTAGTATCCAATAAACATCACTGCTGCAAGCAATGGGGAACTGCTGATTTGCTTTTGCACAGCTCCATTGTAAGGTACAAACAAAAACTTGAACAGTTATCTAAGCGCTGACTTATTGTGGTTGATTTACTAAAGGAATAAAGCTTGTTCGCATTGTAAGGACATTTTTCACTTTAAAAGATAATTTTTAATTAGCTTATTTAATATGTTGAAAATTTCCTTTGTAAAGAATACCAGATCACATGCAATGAAAATAAATACACAAATAAATAAGGAATTTTGCATGCACATGATTGGACGATTGAAGTCAGCACAGATTCCCCACATTTACTAAGCTAAGTGATAATTTCCATTGCATAGTGGACTGCTCTACTCCTTTACTAAATTAAACCCAATAAAGCAGTGTTTCCCAACCTTTTTTCAGTCACGGCACCCTTTCAAAATATGCAAAGTCCCGAAGCACCCCAAATGTGAAAAAACACATGGCCTCTCCAAAATCTATGTCAGACCCTTATCTTAGAGAGGGACATGGCAATTTAGGTACTAATGGCCGACCTGCCTGCCTGCCTGCACCATGAAAAGGCATGATACTGTGTGAAAATGTCAAGCCACCCTGGTTGAGAAAGACTGCCATAGATTCAATAAAACAATGCAAAGTGCAGCACCAATAACAACCAATGGAATACATCTAGCACTGATATGACTTTAGTAGGGTCAATGCCGATTGGATCCTTTGGGTTAGGGCCCTATGCTGTATGCAATATTTATTGAATTAACCCAATAGAGTCATGTTAATATTGTCTGAAATACATAGGTTATGTAAAAGGTCCCTTTGATTTTAATTCAAAGAGCAAAAGAGTGTTCTCTGTGTGCATCAAGTCCAATGAACACTCGTATAACAAAAAAGTGTGGCAAATTTTATAAAATCTTTACATATACCATGGTTCACTGTTACCTAGGAAGAATACTGCTTATGTTGCAAGCTCTGTGTATATCCAAAAGGCATATAAGAATGATAAAAGGAAAACAAAACAGAGCGTCCTGGATAGCACAGGTAGGAGATCCTTTTGCCAGCTGTCTATTGAGAGTAAATCCAGCAACTGTGATGTGACCTGGTATTCCATGGGAGAGATATCCTGGTTATATGCTTTGATCAAGTCGTCTCTTTGTAAGTGCAATTATATTAGTTAATTTTTCAATTGTAGTATTTCCACCTACCGTACTTTTCTAGATGGCAAATTACATGGCAATTTAGTGTTAGTATTTTAATGCTAACAAAATTTCCTTTACATTAATTTTTTTAACCTAAATACAAAACAGCTAACACAACAGTTTGAGGAACTGTCAGGAAGTATCTGTATATACCATGTTAGATGTATTGTTTAGCAGGACAGAAATTCACAAATATATGTAGATTGTCAATTTATGACAGCTAAGAAAGGCTTAGTGATACCACTGAGACACAAATAGTATTAAAACTGAATATCGACTGGGTCGAAAAGTGTCAACACACTCTTGACAGTGGTTCAGTTTCCTTAAAATTACAAAAGTGTCTTAAAAAACAAGAACAAAAATGTAATATATTGCAGCTCATCAGTCTTTAAATGTGGTGGCTGCATTTGCTTTGCCAGTTTTTGTTCCTGTATAAATACATTAGATGTGATTCTACTTGAATATTTCTATTCATATTACAGGGTCACTCTGGGGAAAACAACACACATTTTGTACAGTTTTTGTTCCTGCCTGCAACACGCTACTTGTGCTAGGGTGACAATGCTCACATACCATATGGTATCTATTGAGGAGCAGTGCTGTCTCGCTAGGACACAATGCTTGGTGGTGTTCTGTAGTTCACAGAGGTGAACTGTGCAGGACTAATAAAAACATGAGATAAACATTTTTTCTTAACTTAACTTAACACATAGATATACAAAAACGCTTTCAATGTTATATTTAACAGATTAAAAAGAAGAGAATAAGAGAAGTTCAATGTTCGGGTTTGGTGTACTTCAAAGAGGAACTGAACTCTGGAAGCCATGCCTAAAAGGCAAGCATATACTAGTCACCAGTATTGCGTGTGGTCTCCCCATTACTGACTTACCATGCCTTGTTCTGCACTGTTTGTTTGGAGGTGGCCATCTTGGTAGGGGCCGGGTTTTACTTCCTCATGTCAGAGCCTCCAGCAAGGATAACAGAGAGACTAGCAGTCAAAGGCAGCAGTGCCTCCCACACAGCAAATATACAGCTATGAGGATGTAGACACATGAGTGTCTAGGCACCCTCATATACATGAAAATACTCTGATATGTCTCAGGAGGCACTGATTAGGCACAATTATCATTTCTAAACATAGTAAATCTTCATGTATTGAGCTCTGGTCCACTTTAAAGCATTTAATAAAGCTACACATACCTTCTGTAATCCGCCAGTGCACACAAGAATTTCACAGACCCAAGGTGCTCAGTATGAATATGATGGTTGTAGCTCAAAAATTTAATAAATCAGTTTTCTTCAATGAACTGTGGGACAACCTGCACATCGAGTACCCTGGGTTTGGGAATTCCTCTAGTATCCTGTCAAATGGAAGGTACATGTAGATGACCATTTGTATTTTTTATGTCAGATTTAGTACCTATCATTTACTTTAACTAAAGAAAAAAAGCATAGTGTTCAGGTGAAGAAAGGACTTTTTGTTTTTAATGAGTAAGGGGCGAAAACTTATAAGCTCTGCAGCATAGGCTGGTAAAGCAAGATCTATCTTCCGACAACCCCAGAGAGCTATTTCTATTATTATTCTTTGAAAAGTGGGAAAATTTATGAACACAATATGACAACTGTATTGAACATATTTAGTCTTATTTAAAAAAAAAAAAAAAACCTCTCTCATTAACTTTCTGGATATGTTTAGGAACCACAGAAAAGTGAGCTTTTATAAAAAAAAAAAAAAAAAAAAAGAAGAAGAATTAATGTAAGTACCACGGGACAAAACAAGCTTGTACACCTCTTCTCACCAAGATACAATACAGGAAGGACAACAGAATTATGAGGAGTCTGAAATAGTTCTATGACTTATGGGAATTTCCGGCAATAAAAGCTATAACCCTTCCAAAAAATAGTTTACTTTCCAGTGACCTTTCTAAAGCAAGATCGCAAGGTATTAAAAAGGATCAATCACAGCAAAATGATTTACCATTACAGAAAGACAATGGTAATACAACATAGTTTTCTGGAAGAACAGTTAGCAAAAGATTATATTTCAGTTCAATATATTTATTGCTAAATAGTTCTACATCTTAACAACTTCCATGTTCTTGCATCACATTTTATACCAACAACTCGATAGCTTGAAAATGTAAAACAGAATGCAACCTAACTGCAAAATAGGTTAACCAAAATTCCATAATTAACCAATATGAATACAGGTCTCCCTGAAAGCGACACTTTACACTCCACTAAAGCTGCCTCTTATAGTTCCATTCCTTTATGGAGTATTCTAAATTCCAACAGCGTGGCAGCAATATAAAAGCACAAGGTTATCCGTTGAAGGCGATTCCCTTTTACCTTCTAAAAGCCAATGAGCATCAAAGCACCCAGAAACCTACTAGGGTGGGTGTGGCAACAAGAGGACCCTAACCGTGGTCATTGTTTAAAATGGGAGTGGTTTATGAGTAAATGTGCAAAACCTTTAAGTAGACACTGAATGACATTTAGTTTGCTAAAACACTGTGGGGTTGATTTACTAAAGACAAATAAGCTGTTCACTTTGCAAGGGAATCTGCACTTTGTACAGGAAGTTTCAACTTAGTTTAGTGAAATTGGGGAAGCTCTACAGGCTTCCATCACCCAATCATGTGCAAGCAAAAATACTGTTTTTTTTTTCTTCCTTTCACCTGATTAGGTATTCTTTGCAAAGCAAAATTTTACCACATTCACCAAGCTAAGGGGAAATTTGATTTGGTCAATAAAATTCTCATATAGGGGGTTACAAAGCAGAAGCACAAATGGGAGATAATAGTGATGAGTAGAGTCACCCTATGTCACCCTACATTAGGAAGTTCCGCAACAAGGCCCTTCCTAGCAGAATCACCAGGTAAACTCATTATAAATTACTTTTGTAATGACACAAATTACACGGGCTAAAGCTTATACACGGTTTACTTTATACTTTAACATCTAGACATCACAGAAAAATGGAAACTGGACTAATAATGGCATACACTTTCAGTAGGTAGATGAGTTACCTGCCATTCGTTCATGAATCGCAAGGAGTGAGGCAAAGCGGCATTGTTGAGAGAGAGCAACAAGATCAGCTCTAAGCAAGTTCTGGATGGAAATGTCAAGGAATGAGCTCCAGTTTCATTCATCCATTTATCCTCAAGCCTGAAAAGACACAGAAGTTAAAAATCCAAATATCACATTGGAGTACCATGAATTGTAAAATACAGGATGCTGATTATGCAAATAAAAAATGAAGGTTAGAAATGATTTTTTTAAAGAGAAATAAAGCTGAAATTTTGACACATCAAACAGTAATTGCTGCTAGTAGGAATGTGACCTCACATATGGTATGCCCAAAAACAGAAATATTACTAGACCACAGAACATAATACATTTCTTAAAAACATACAATGTAATGTAGAAAAAGCTTTTTTATCTTTAGAACTCAGAACATTTCAGAAACCTGTAAACGACATTGAATACAAAATAATTTTTCAGTTTCTAATGTAAAGCCTGTATAGGGCAGCGATTATCTAATGGACATTGGCCTACTGGTCTCCATAGACCAAATCAAAATTAATTTTATAAATAAAAATTTAAAAAATATGACCTGTTTTTTATCCTCTTTTATACGTCCTTGCAATAATTTAACTTACAAAAGGAAAAAACAGCACTAATAGAAATAATAATTTGGATTTCGCCAGTACATCTAGTCAAGTGAGAGGTACAGCAGCATTGCAAAGATTGTTTTAAATCAGAGATCCTTAACCTACTGCACCTCAACAAATCAATTTTGATATAATATGTAAAGGTGAGCTACATTCATATGAACAAATGGCTAAAAAAGTATTTCAAGAATGCATAAAGTAAAGCAAATATGGAACTAAAACTCTGATTTGTTTCATGCTCCTGAGAAATCCGTAACGCAGAAGGTGTTCTGAGAGGCTTTCATAAACTGTATAGAATTTAGATGTGAGCTATATGTGGCTCCATAGATACCAGATGGAAAACACTATTACAACTAAGAAAATGAGCTAAACATCATAATGTCCGCTGAAATAAGTATGGGGCAGCCAAAGTGTTTTTGAAGATAAAGCACTGCTTTGTCAATTACGGCAGTTAACATGATAAACCAAGGTCTCTGCAATGAATATGGTTGGCACCAACAATGATCCTGTTTGATCAGCTTTGTGTACAGGGACAGAACAATCCAATCTCCAACTGAAGCTGGGACCTGGTTTTCTGACTCGATAAGCAGTAACACACCAGAATGTGTTGGACAAAACCTTTACATAAATAAATTATCATAATGAAATTTCTTTAGCAAGCCACCTATTGATTTGGAAAAACACATCCCGCTCCATGAGCTAAAAATAAAACCTTGCCCTTTCTAAGTCTTGTTCAAAGCTTGTGCTAATGAAATATTCAGCAGAAGCTGAAAGAAAGACCAAAACACAACTCCCCATCAAGGCACAAAATGAATCCTTTCTATTTGCAAAACAACAACTATATTTACTTCTGTTTCCCCACATTATTTTCCTGACTTGCACCTCACAAATGTACAAAGTAATGAACATGGTTATGAATTATGTTTCGATTCACATATACCCATTCCGAAAGATACTGCATGCTTCACAGGTATTTGATAGCTGGTTATTAACACTTAATAAAAAGCTATAAAAGTCTAAGAAATTGTAATACATTTCCTTGTGGATATGGACTTCTTTATTTTTTGATTAGGTACTGTGCAGTATGGTGAGCCATTTACAATGAAAGCCAGTCTCACAATCAATAAAAGTTAAATTTTTGTCAAAAGAGCGGACTAAATTGCTGAAGCAATTTGTTTAATTGATTCAAACAGCAATATTTCAAGAATCATTGCCGCTTTTGCCAAATATTTTGAAGTATCAGGAAATACCAGTTATTTCTTCTTTAAACAGACCCAAGGCTCTTTCATTGGTCGTTTGAATTACAAAATTCAGAGATACAGCTGGAAATTTCCTTGTGCTTAGTACAGCTTTGTTACAAAGGTCTCCCTCCAGTTGAGGTCATATACCATATATTTAGTGAAACTATAATTTAAGGTAATATATTATTATTTTTCTTTAAAAAAATTAATAATGGTATTTATTACAGGGTACATTCATGATTATCTATTGTCCAATCATCCAGTAAGAAAGTGAACCTTACTTAAAACATCTAAGGTAACAACAGTACTGATAACAAGTACCTACTGAAGTAGGCAGCAAAGGCTTTAGCACTGACAAAATGTTATCACATGAAATATGTTGCATTGGCACACTTTGTTGTTATAATGAAGCTTACAGTAAGAGTGTCTGTTCTTCAAACTGATGGTATTTAGGTTGTATGACAAACAGCCCCTTTGGGTCTAGAACAACTTGGATGGGGGTTACCTACTGCCTAGACAGTTGCATTTTTTAAGATAAGCTGCTGGTAGTGGTCTGTATGGACACTAGTTTTTATTATTATCACGTTATTTACTTCATGATTTATTGTGATTTATGTCTGTGCTATAGCCCTGATGAAGAGGAAGTTGTATTGTCCTCAAAACACATTGACTGTTTATAGGAGATGCCCCTACAAGGTAAAGCTCTTTTGTTATGTGATTGCAACAGTGACAAATAAGCACAGGCAGGAAGCCCTTAAAACGTACATTGGAGTCTAGATTATCTCTCCGCAAGCTATATATTTGAAGTGATAAAGTCCATTAAGGTTAAACTCTTACAAACACCACAAATCTCACAGAGTAAGGCACCCCCCTCCATCCTTACCAAGCAGCTTTAGCCAAATTTGTCTCACATGGGAAAAATTCACTCCTAAAGCCACACAGTTGGATTAATTCCTGGAGACAAACATCTCCCTGTTATTTTGTTGCTACCTGTAATCATGGGTCACTTGTAAGTAAACCAATCAGTGCCTTTTATATATTCCTTAACTAATCTTGGCAGTTCCATTGCATGAGGTAAGGGATTCCAAAGCCATGATAAAAAGAAAAAATTAATTACCATAATAATGTTAAAAATATAATTTTTTTCTCGAATGCACCTTGCCTTTGTAAAGTCTTTGGAACTAAAACCTAATATGCCAAAACTTTTTTTGCTGACCGTGGATAAAATAGCATATATTAAAAGGGATCATTTTTCCAAACTAAAGAAGAACAAGTTTTAGTAAGCAAGACATCCTTTTATGTTTCATTATTGTAGCAGTCTGCCTTAAGCTGGCCATACACCTTACAATTATCTGCAGATTTTCTGTGGTCAGATGGAAAAGGTGCAACAGATTCCTCCATCTACACTTAACTGTGTGGATGGAGGAATCTCCACCTGGGCCAGCTTAAGGCAGTTGCACTATTTCCATCTGACCACAGAAAATCTGCAGATAATTGTAAGGTGTATGGGCACCCTTAGGCTGGCCAACAGAAGCAATTCAATTTACGATGGGCAACAACAGTGCATTGTTTAACCCCTTCGTGACAGGAAACATACGTCCCGCCACAAAGTGCTTAAATGACTAGCCACGTACACGCTACGTGACCAGTTATTTGCTGCTCTACAATGCTGGTAACCGCTGAGAATCAGCGGTTACCATTCATTAATGAATGCCTCAGTATGGAGGCATCCATTACTGAAAGAGTTAACCTTTTTCAGACACCCGATCCACTTCAGGAATCGGGTGTCGGAGTGAGAGCCACATTTGCAGCTCTAGCCATCACTCTGACAGCTGGTATAGATCAGGAAATCCCGATGTATACTGGCTTTTTTTTTTAACTTTCAGCAATAGAAACATCATGTATCTATTCCTGAAAGAATGTTTCAGTTTTCTTATCATTGTTGGAACGATCAGAAAACCTTTAGTGACAGCTGATCCTGAAATGCTGCAGGATCAGTGACAGCTGATCCTGAAATGCTGCAGGATCAGTGTCACTAAGGTTATTATTGGCTGTTCTTAAGTTTGAAGCAGCCTAATAATAACCAAAAATGAATTGATTAATTTATCAAGCAGTAATAATTAGATTAATTCACAATGACTGCTTGATATAATTAAATAAAAAATGTAAGAAGTTGTGAAAAGTGTAAAAATAAAATAAAAAATAAAGCGTAACTAATTTAAAAATAAATGTAACAAATAAAAATTATATATTTAAATATTTTTATACTATCATTTCTATAAAAAAATAAACCCTTACAATGAAAATCTGCAGCTGAGCTGCAGATTTGTTTTTCACCCTAAGGGGTTCATTTTTTTTAACCAACTCATGACAGTGATGTTCAAAGTATGTCCCCGTCACTAAGTGTGACACTAAGTGACAGTGACATTGTATGCCAGGTGACCACTTTTAGCTTTAGCTTTCAGAGAAAAAAAAGATTAAAATGTTAGGTTTTAGGCCATTTAGGAAAAGGGATGTGAGGTTTTTCCAAATAAAGGACACATAAATGAATGTATTGCATTTTTTTTAGCTGTGCCGTTTTTGTAAAAAATACTACAAAATCGAAACTGGAGAAAAAGTGTTTTATGTTTTTTCCTCTTTTTTTAAAAATATTTTATTTGTTAGGCTTTAGGTACACATATGTGATATAAATATATAGCCCTATCTGTCCTCTAAAAAACAATATATAATATGTGTGGGTGCACTTTGTAAGAAAGTATATTACTGACGTGGAAGAATCACACAGCAAAAATTTCAAAAGTGCGTCAGTCATTTACGAACAGAAACGAAAAACAAGCTCAGTCATGAAGGGGTTAATTGTTCTCCAAAAGTAGGGACCCTCTATATGTGCTGCATCCATGTAACATGAGAGGTAAATAGTATGTGCATCACTTTACAATTTTTGTAAAAGTTTTAGTAGTTACTGTAATAGTGTTAACAGTTTATTTGGCTTTAACCCCTTCATGACTGAGGCCTTTTTTTCATTTTTTTGTACCCATGTTATATTCCACATTTTAGGCCTGAAAATTACTTAAAACCCCCCAACATTATAGCTGTACGTTGTCAGTCACGAAGGGGTTAATGCTACTGCTGCCAATTACATTTGTATACTGAAATCAATGCATCCACCAATCTCTTATGTGCATACTTAGCCCCCAGGCTAATTATAGCTCACTGTCGGTAAAATGTTAAACAGTGCAATTTTGCTAAATTT